TTACCTCCATATGTATAGGGGAGTGAATATGAGTTGGTGGTGACAATATGGGAAGCTTTTGATAGCAAAGTGTGGTTAACCATGATATGTTTTAACCTATACAAGTGGTTTTTTGTATTTGATTTTGTAGTAAAAGGTAACTTGGAAATAATCAATTGGATTTGTAAATTGTTCTCCTGTTGCGCGCATGCGCGCATAGTGTCTAGTACCTCAAATGTCAAGCTACAACATCTGACTGGACCACCAAATACTGATACATTGACGAAGTCAGTACGGAATGTCAGTGCTTGGTATTTCATCATTGCAATGTCGATTTGGTCAATATCCTTGGTAAGTCATATTTCTCAGCAGTAATGAATGTATGTTAACTGAACCTTGCTTGAAATTCTATACCAAAGGTTGAAAGTCTCACCCGGTCAAGTTCTGCCACTGCTTACCTGAAGCTGTCCAGCTTGTCTACCAGGGCTGTCTTCCAGCCTCACCTCAACTGCCCCGCACCGCCTTTTCCATTCGATTATTACAACTTCATCATGACTTGTGGCTTACATTGGTATGCTCAGTTTTGAGTTTTATTGAAGGTCTGATGAACTTCCTCGACAATCAAACCGCCAAACCGCTGAAGGCTCAAGGTGGCCGCAGTAATTGATGTAATCTCACTCAACCCTTCTCAATTGCAAGTCATCTCTTCAGCCAAAAGAAAGTCAAGACTAGGATGCTACTTCAGGAAGGGCTTCAAATGAAGGCATCCGACAAATGGGCTAGTCGATGTCCTAGGTGCTTTGGTCCGGCGCAGGGTAAACATAAGGGGTCAACAAAGGAGCCTGATGTCATAATTTGGATGGACGGCAACTTCCAACATCGACACAACATCCTTGCTAGTAGGGAAAATCCTCCAGAAACGCAGTACCCGTCAATATTTGTACCGCCTTCTCAAATAGCTCAACTCAGCTTGACTGCTCAACCTGTACCTGCTGTTGCTGTTGAGGTAAGCAAACAATCCAACTACATCATCACATTCAAACTGATGTCTTGCTACCCAGGATCCGTGTTCTGAAGCGCACAAGGCCGCCGACGACACAAGAGGCAAGTCAACATGGGACCAATGTGATGATACTGGGCTTTTTGCAGCCGCATGTCGCCATGATGTTCCATTGGCCATGGCTAACATCTATCAAAGCGGCGAAAAGTAAGTATTATTGTGTACATTGAGTGAAGCATCTGACTAATCTTTATGCTTCTGTGGAGGATGTATTATCCATTGAGCGTGTTGAAACGGATCCTGCACGACTTTCCGGACGATACCTTTGGTGTCTTGTATGACATTGGTTGTCATCTTGACAAACACATCAAATTGGGACACCATGAATTTATTTTCCAAGCTGACTATGTCCGCTGACTATGTTTTTACCCACTTTTTCACAGCACAACCTTCTACCTGAACATCGAGACCGCATTACTCTCGGCACATCAGTCTTCCACAAATATATACACATGTGGGCCTGTCAGCTTTTCTAAAACCCAAGGTATCTCGAGGGGTGGGGTTTGTCCGATGGCAAAGGACTCGAACATGATTGGTCTTTCCTTGACCCCTTGATAGCTATTTTGCGGACGTCCACCCGTTTACACCGGCTTCAAGCAATTGAGCTATGATCCTTAGCGCTGGCCTTGCTACTTCTAGCAGGTACAGGTGATTGGCTCCTAAGAATATTCAAAGATTGACCTTACGTGTTCACAAAGCTCAACAACAACTAACACAATTATGCAAGGAGGCCAACCCTTACCAACCTGGCTCAAAATACACCTCAGCTTACTTTCAGAAGCAATGGGAAGCTGAAAGAGAGGCTAATTCACTGCGAATATAATGTATTTTTCCAAGGTGAAAAATGATTACATTTATTTTACAAAATGATCAAAAATGCATTAATTCTGCATTAATTCTGCATTAATTCTGCATTTTTCTGCATCAATTCTGCATTATTAATCATTTTGTGCATTAATGTCAATCATTTTTTACCTTGGAAAAATACATTATTTTCACAGTGTAACCGCACTACTGCTAAAGATATCAAGGTACGGCAACAAATTGAACTAGGCAAGTTACTTTGCCTCGAGGAAAAGATGCATGCAACATGGTAAGCGTCCCATTTTCATATTTGAATTGCAAATACTAAGTGAGATTTCTAGGTCCAATAATTTGAGGAACGAAGATCAGGCCTTTGCCCGGCTTGATGAATTTCAAACAATGGCCAAGGATATTGAGGCGCAGCGTAAGAAAGTTGGACTTCCCAAAAGCTTATCTAGTCTACCACGTAAGCCATCACAAACACTTGAAGCGCTATTATAAACTAACAAGTTTAATTCCATATCAGCGGCAGCCATCGATCTATTTCTGAAGGTTTGGTACACCAAAACAGATGTCAGAACGTGCTTCCTTGCATTACGGGCTGAACAAAGGCCATTAGACCCCAAGAACAAGGTCGGCGGTGGTTCCAAGCTTGGTATGTAATTAATGAATCTCAGCTTTCTTGGCAACTAGCAAATTAGCGGCTGACACCGCCATGTCACATATAACCCAAACACCACAAAATTTCAACTTGGCAAACCCCTAACTTAACTAAGTCCCTCAATGCTGAGACAGCTGTCCATCAATCCGCTGCCACCCTGCTTTTGCTTTTGGTGGAAAGATGCTTCAGGTATTGCGGTTGCAAACAAATTGTGTCAGGTTGAGGTCGCCAAGTGTGTTGCCCACTGCTGAAGTGTCAGTAAACAAACCCACACAATCACATAATTTTGCTGGACACAATTTCCTATGCATTTTGATGGGTTACACAATTCTGTTGTCAAACTTGGCAGTATTAAAAATAATCAAGATTCAATTTTTGTGTATGCATTATCACAAGTTACACAGCTGCATGGGTATAAATTTGCGCAGGTTTGACTGTATATGAGCATTGATGTGTGTTAAACCAAGGAAATATGTATCTCTTGGACATCAAGTATGAATGACAGTCATATCTATCAAGAATAGAAACGATCAGAAATCATGTGATAGCAGCCTATGTAGTGAATAGAGTATGATTGGAGAAAATGGGGGAAGGAGTTCATGACTCTCTTTAAAAGCATTCCTTTTGAGCAAATCAAAGATCATATGAATCTGATGAACTTTTTTCTCAATCTTGAGCTGAGCATTTACTTTGATGATAGCTTTTAACAAATTTATCAAGCCTTCAATAACAATGCTCTGTTCAACAAGTTTTTTCCAATTGGGCCAAAAGAGCCAAACCCAAAGAATCAGACATACATGAGTTTCCCGTCACATAAGTTGTAATCTTTGAAATCAATCCTTTTTTATCAAACTCGCCTGCAATTTTCATAGGTAGAACTGAATCTTTGTAAAAATTACATAAGATTTGTTGACCTTTTGTTCAAGTGGAGCAAACAGATCTCAGCTTCAGACTTTTAGATTCATGTTTTAGCATTGAAATGCTTTGTGTAGATTTCATCTAGACTCTCTTCACCTAATCATTGATTATTGTTGGTAATCTTGCAATAAGTTGCAATACAATAACAGCAAAGAGATAGGAAAAATTGGCATACTTACCCAAGGGCTCCAAGAACGTCAGAGTTCTTCATTAGGATCCCAAGAATCCTGTTCTTGACTTGAATGACAGTTGTTGAGTGGCTGTAATGAGCTTCAAACCTGAGTTGGATTGTGATGATGGGTTGAGGTTGTTCTTCTTCCTGTTGTTGTGGGGCTGAGAGGTAATGATATAGTCAGAGTCGCAGACTTGAAAAAACAAAAGATGATCAGTTAACAACTGAGTAGCAGATTGACAATGTTTGTGATCACAAACAAAGCCAATATGTTCAAGATTGCTTGGTCTGATGATAGCCTTCCCGGTCTTCTAGTTGTATCTAGTCCCTATAGAGAATGTTTGCTGAAATCAGTCATTGAAAAAAGAAAGATGAATATTGAAAACTCAATATCATGAGCAGCAGAATAAGTGCAATTCCGAGGAAGAAATTCTGCCGATGAATGGACAGCATGGAGATGTATGGAAGAACTTAAATTCCTGCGAAAGAAAAGAAAGTTAAATTCAAACTCAAACTCAAACTCATAGCCGGATAAATGGGTCAAGACTAACAGTGAGAGAATATCAAAGCATCTCCTCCACTTGTTTGCAGATTGAATAATCCAGGATGATGATCATTTTTGTACCTGAAATGAACCAAATTAAAGAATTAATCAGTGGTTATTTGACAAACACATTTATTGGAAACAGCAGATACTCGGTGTAAGCTTTTTTTGAGTTTATCAAGATGAGGAGTTGAAGATAAAGGGTGACTATCTTCTGTAGTATGTGATTTCCGTGAACTACAAAAGAATTTTAAAAGCTGATTGAATCCTAGGTCTGAAATATTGAGAATTGATCAATAACTCATGAAATTTGATATATTACTAACTTCATTATTGTTACCGTGATCCAGTGATCTAATATCAAATGTGTTATAGTTTTTTATATACTCATAATAAATTCGAGCTCATAGGTCAATTCTCCTATTTACTTTTTTTATATCTTGTTAAAACTCATCTGTTTCCACTATCAATCGACCAATCTAGTGACCCATTTGAAAAAAGCTTGATAGTATCAAAAGCAATGTCAGCTATGGAGTTTTCAACAGATTTCAAGCAATAGTTTAAACAACATAGATCAAAGAAACAAACTCTGATCAAGGCTAGTTTAAGATTAATGTGAGATCCTAAATCTTCACCTTTCTTTGAATCCTGCGTACAAGCTATCGATATCAATGATGCCAAAGAATAATAATTGATTCCAGAGTTGAGTTTTGCTTGATCAATCGATTTTCAATTTGAGTACGAATACATCCTCTGCAGTCTTCAGAAGGAGATCAATGAGCTCAAAATTCTTTCAAGCAGTGTTCCTCCTTTGAAAAAAAGAAGACTGAATTTGATGTTACTCGAATGATGATTATTGGTAAGATTTGATCAAATTTGAACTTGATAATGTCGGCTGCTTTTGCCTTCATCACGAGAAATTGATCTAGATTATTTGAAATATTAGTTAGCTGTCATTTCACTTGTAGAGGTTGTAATGATTGAAAGTTTGATACCAGATCCAAACTCCCAAAAAGTTAAAGTTTTAAGGTCAAGAAGCATGAATCTAAAGATCCATAGGCCTGCCAGACCTTGAAGAAGTTCGTCATTGCTTGTAGTGTGGCTTGCTAATTACTTATCGACAATGTTGGACATGCTAGTATCATCTATATCTCTAACCAAAACACTGAAACTTCTGAGGATGAAACAAAAAGAATGAGTGTGTTTCTAAAACCCAATTCAAGAAGTCGAGTTCAAACTCACATCTTAACCGGTTGACCTTGACTCCAATGTTTTGATCATTGATTAATCCCAATAAGATATCAACAATTTCCAACTCAGTTGATGCATCCAAACAAAAATCTCAATCAGATGACAGTTTGTTTACTCAGGCAAAGACATATCAAAATCCAACTGCATCACGTAGCTCAACCATGTTTGAGATCAATTTTGATGATCTTGGTCAATTGGCTGGTGCAAAAGTGTTAGTCTTTGGTTTTGATCAAACTCGACTTTGGAATCCTCTTCAATCATCTCAAGAACAAGCTTTTGATGTCTTCTATCAGTTTATGCCTGTATTTAGTCCCAATGATGAGCCTAGTCTCACTCATCTCATGTCTCAACCCTCTTACTATGAGATACTCACCTCTCAGGTTGTAATTGGCTCGCCGAACGTCCTAATGCTGATCAAATTGCCTTTGAAAACCTGAAAGCAGCTTTCAAAGCGCTTGGATTCAAGCCAAAGCATATTCAATTTATCTTCAAGCTTTTCTGCACAATCCTTTTGTGGAGTAACCTTGCATTCAACCTCTACAATCTTTTTCTCAGTCTCAAAAGTTTTGTATTGTCTCAAGGATGGATTATGTACCATTAAGCTGTTTTGTATGTATTCATAAGCACAATGAAAATCTTCTCTTGGCTTCCAAATCCAGTTTCTGAGTGAGGAGTATAAGAGCAATACAACAAGACAAAAAGATGGATTTTAATACCAAGGATGTTGGATTACAAAAACAAAGCATTCTCGCTAGATTGATCATGATTAAATGAGGTTTGATCTTTTGATGGGTTTGATGAGTTGATTGGTATGCCTAATTCTTGGTTTGATTTGATTGATATTTCATTCTGGTCGTGTTTTGATTTTGATCCTGATTCAATTGTTGGCAGTGAAGTTATATTGACAAGTTGTGAAAATGTTTGTAAAACCCTTAAAAGAACCAAAGAATTCAAAACCAAAATAAAGCAATATTATGACGGTCACTCCTTGGGTCTGGTCCTGTTATTGATTTGTATGATTCATCAGGATTCATCTTGTTCATCTTATCAGACCAGAAACTGATCGTAGACTCTTGGATCAGATATGAAATTGGTAAAGGTAAGATGGGCAAATGGGCTGCAGGCGGATGGGTTGTTTGAGGATGAGTTACAAGAAGTAGAAGCATCTTGAAGATTGAAGCATTGAGAGTCAGAGACAAAATGACTTGCATGTGATACTACATATGGGTTCATGGAGGTATGTTGACATTTTCCCGTGTGAAATATCAAAGTTGAGCCTTCCAGATAGGCTCATACAGTTTTCTGAGCACAATTTCTGTTGAATGAAGGCGTTCAGCCCAAGCTGAGAGCTGATAGATGGCCAAGCTCACTGATCAAGAGATTTATGACTAAGCATTGGCTGGGGATATGACACACAAAGGCAGATGGGATTAGACACTTTTTGGACAAAATTGCGAGGCTTTCAACCCCTCTTGACGTCAAGGGGGGATCCGGCGGTCCTTGTGTAAGTCCCTTGTTTGAGCTGGCCAGTACAGCTCAAAAAACAAGGGACTTTGCTAAGTTTGACAAATCAGTTCCTTGGGACTGAACCACAGTTCACTCCAATATTTTTAGTAACTGCACCAGATTCTTAAAGCAGGTGGTCTCTGGTTTTGTTTGTGGGCACTTTTTAGTAGCCCCCAATAAATACGGAAAAGAGAATCAGAATAAGATTTTGACTTCTTGGGATTTTGTATTAGAAAATGAAGATCAAAGAAAAAAGGAGAATGGTTGGAGTATCTCAAATGGTGTGGAAATCAATTTCAACAATGATAGCCAGAGCTCAGTTCTATTCATTTATTTCACTTTGAGATCTGGAATTGTCAGAAAAGTCTCAGCGTCCTTTATCTGAATTTCTATGTTTTCATGATAGTGATATTTTTTCTTTATTTATATATTTCACTCAATTTGCAAAGCTACTCTCTACCCACTGCATTATGCTAAAAAATATATAGAGCATATATAAACATACAAGCAGAAATTCTCAACACCTCACATCAGATTATTATTATATTCATTTTATTTCATTACAATATCTTGTTACCACTTCAAGGATGCATTTGCAAATATACATATTAAACACAAAAGAAAACATTCTACAAGAAGGGATCAAATAAGAGAACAAGTCAAATTGAATACATACCTAAACTAAGTGCCAAAATCGAAAATCATAGTGAATTAGAGATTCAATTTTGGGGGTCTAATAATCAAACAAGCCAAAGAGAGTACTGTCAGTTACGGTCAAAATTCATATCCAGGAAACTCAGAAGATGTAACACTTACTTGCAAGGATCTGGATCAACATAATGATCAAAATTGCAATTACATTGAGCAATCTATGGGAACACATCTAGAAAGCGAAATTCAGATAGATAAGGCCCAGAAGTTCTTGATTCTGATTCAGTGGGATCGAAGTGGAGATGATTGAAGCGAAGATGAGGCGATGAATTAATTGAATCTATACTCATAATAGAAAATTGAATTGAGCTTGATTGAGATGAAAAGGGTCCAACTGAAGTCGTTTGTATTCAATTGAGTGAACAGTACCTAGAAGCGAAATCAAAATGAAAGGAACCAAATTCAAGACAAAGAAGATGAGATTAGTAAACAAGAACAAACAAAAAAGGAATAAAAGCTTACTTCACCGCGGAACCCTGTATAGTCCCACTACAAGTCGAGTTGAAGAGAGATATCAAAGCGACTGGTAGTGGACTCTCCCTGCTCTCAGATGTTCTCAGAAAACACTTGAGATTCGGCCTCAATACAGGCCTAGACTTAACCAAGATTTTTTTTGAAATCTTGACCCGAACTTGGCCAAATCCGGCTTTAGGAAGGCCTACGGTACCAAGCACCGTAACCCGTTCACGGTGGCCACTGGTGAGTCATAAAGCCCAGCTGAACCGTTCAGCAGGTGCTTACAACATCACTTCACTTACCACGAAAACCATCTTTGTATCGTTTGTATACTCTCTTTCACAGTTCAAACCTCAGATACGCCTCACCGATATGGGGAAACCCAAAAACTTGATGGGGAATATGGGCCTCAGGTCGAAACGGAGTCGAAGAACTGCTACCCCGCCCAAGATGACTCCTTGAAAAGCGCAATCAATTTCAGCTTCTCTTGGAATCACCACCCATCCAGTTCCCGCTTCCAATGAAGATCATGACGACTTACATGATAACCACGAGTTGAATCAGTTCTTGCCTTTACCTGACGAACCAGTAGCCCCTCCTTCTCCGATACCGATACCTGATGCTGCCCATTACTTTGCTCAAGAAAGTCGTGATTGGTGGAATGCAGAGGATCGAAGAAATCTCAAGCTTCAATGGAATGCGATCGAATCTCAAATGACTGCTACTTATCTTAACCTTCAATACAAAACACAAAATTGAACTTCTGAAGCCTCTTACCTTGATGTGAAGATCGACTGTCAATGCCCAAATTCAAAACTTACGATGCAAGCTGTTGACATTATCGAACTCTTAGGATTTCACAGCAAGCACTACATATGTTTCTGCGTGTGCATGCCCAAACCTGTACGGCTTCTGCACTATGGATATATCTCCAGCTCACCTCAATCTCCACAGACAGCTTTTTCAATACGACTCCTTCAGTTTCATCATCAAATTTGGAATGCAACTGTTATATCAAGTACTGGATTCATCAATGGATTGATGTCCTTTCTGAATCTGCGAAGTAACCGCAACCTGAAACCTCAGTCAAATCAAAACAGTTCACTCATTCACGATCGAGATCTTCGAAGACAATTCTCCAGCTCAGTCAACATGTATCGATCAATCATGCTTTGTATCAAAAAGATTCACAACGAAGGTCTGAATCTATCAAATGCTGAGTTATTGGCGGACCGGTGTGGCCGCTGTTTTGGTCCAGCAATCAATGAAGAACAACCGTCACCCCAAGAGCCACATGTGATTGTAGCATTAGACGGCAATTTTCAACATAGGCACTACACCCGATCAAGCAAAGATCATCCTACCGAAGAAGAGTATCCCAAAGTGTTTGTCAAGCCATCCTGTATGAAAAAGCACGAGCTTCTTCAAAACTCGACTGAAGCCCAATCTAAGAGCATCAAAGTAGGTAGCGTAAGATTCCATATATTTAGATTGACAAAACTGACTTGTTTTTGATGTAGAACCCTTGTTCTGACTCTCATACTGCGGCAAACGATGTGAGGAACTCGACTTCATGGAAAAGGAGTGACGACACAGGCCTCTTTGGATGTACTTGCCGGCACGATGTGCCTCTTAAACTGGCAAATATCTACAAGACAGGTGAAAAGTAAGTAATTCAACATGACTTGACATTTACAAGTAAATCAACGTGACTTAAAACTTTTATATAGGCTTTATTATCCGTTGAGTATTCTCGAGCAGCTGTTGCTAGATTTACCCAATATTCGAGTTGGAGTGTTATACGACATTGGTTGCCAGCTTGAAGCACATATCAAGAAAGTGAGTCGTCTTGAATATAATGCAGGTTTTAAGATTGATACTAATAAGCTACCAACAGCGAAATTTCTTGGAAGGTATTGCGCATCGGCTCAGCTTTGGAACATCAGTTTTCCACGCTTATGTGCACAACTGGGCTTGTCAAGTCCTTTACAACCCACGATTCAATTCATTTTGGGGATTGACTGACGGTGAGGGCCTTGAACGCTTTTGGTCATTCCTCGCATTGTTAGTCGCGGTCAATCGAATATCAACACGACTTAATCGACTGTTATCAATAAATTGGAGAACTGATTACTTCGTGGAAATCACTCTCAACTCAACAGGTAGGTGCATGGTTTCGTTATTTTTGCTCTTATCTGTAAGCTGATGGTCATTTGACATAGCCAAATGGCTTGTTCGCAGGCTACAAAATGCCAAGGCTGTATTCCAACAATCTAGTAGCGCTCTTGCTAGCTTATCGAGCAAGAGGAGCTCCATGTTCCCCACGATTCGCTACACTCATGAATTCCTGCGCCAACAATGGAATGTGGAGCGTCAATCTCAAGAAAAACGATCCCATGTTCAGGAACAACAAAAGATTGAACTCGGACGGTTACTATTGTTAGAAGAGACGGCTCAAACACTCTGGTTAGTTTCAAAAGTTATATCTAGATTCATCATACAAAAAGCTGATATTTAATTTCAATTGTTAAAGGGCTAAAGATGCAGAAAACGTTGAAGAGGCCACTGATAGACTGACTGAGCACAACGAAATTCAAAAAAAGATTGAAAAGCAACGCGCCAAGATAGGCTCAGAGACAATTTTAAACGACTTAAATGGTATTTGTCACACTTCATGTCAATCTCCAAGTAAACAAAATAGTTACTTACGGGCCTGTGTGGATTTTAGCACTAGAACAGGATCTAATTTTGAAAATCTGGTTTGCCAAACAAGAAGTGCGTAATCAGTTTGTGGCTGTACGTGAGCAGAAGCGCCCATTGGATGTAAGCCGACGGGATGGGAAGAATTCGAGTATTGGTCAGTATATTTTTTTTTGACAACTTTGGTCCTTTTCATTTGGTTGACTGTTGTACTTGACAGGTTACAACGATAAACCACATTTACTCAAGTCACTTCGCGAAGCCGCCGCTAAGTTGAACACGAAACTGGAGACGTATCACAGGCTCTTATCAACATATTTAACCACTTCTCCCCATCGATCACAACCAACAAACATCACCTACTTGGCCCTTCTTGAAATTGACTTTGATCACCCGTTCTGGAATGACGGGCTCTTCACCAATGGACGCGAACCCTGGGCGATCGACGATTATACACAGCACGGAATGCGCCAGATTGCCTACCACGATCGAGCCATTGAAGAAATCCGCCGCTTGGGTTGGGAAGTCAGAAGAGTGATGCGGTGGGCCATCAATTCCCACAGGTCGCTTTCAACTCATCTTCATCGACTTCAATCACATGTTTTTGCTGAAAATGAACAGCCAATCGATCTACCGTTGATCAATCATCCGGCTTTGAACTCGCTTAGTGGTGCTGGTAAGATATCAGCCGCAAGAATTATTATCAATCAAAAGCTAGTGCGGATATTCAATTTACAAGCATATTGGAATACAAGTCTGGGCGAGGTTATTCATTGCACACCATCACAAGAAGGCAATACTGACCTCAAGGTAGCATGGCGCAATCAATTTCAAAAAATTCAATATATGTACTCGAAAGATAAGATTTCATTGAACCCAGGTGTTATAACTATTTTGCAGGGGGTAGAAGATGCTATCGAGATTGATAATGTAGCCAATATTGAACTTGAATCTGAAAGTGAGGGTATCACTAATACTGATGGTGATGCAGATGATGACTCGAGTGATGATGAAATTGATATGGAATGGGAGGATATAAATACAGCAATGTTGTGATGACCTGAGATCCTTGTAATACTTTATAAATTCTTGCAAAGTACATAAAAAGAAAAACATGTTTGATGAAACAAATCAACTAGCCCTTTCCCTTTCTCATACATATGTGAGAAGCTAAGCCAATGTGTCCTGATTTTTAGCCTTACAACAATGTGACCTATTTAACGTGTGATTTGAATATTGATTCTTTATGTTATCGAATAGCAAAATGCCTCAGGTATAATAAGGCTACATATACATTTCAACTATTATCTAGATAATAATTGAAAAAGAAATGTTAAACACGGAGTATTACAATTGCATCCTGTAACATTTCAAAAGAAATGTTAAACACGGAGTATTACAATTGCATCCTGTTCTATTTCAACAACCAAAATTAAACAAAATCAAGTAAAAGTGTAAGTAAGTTAATCAAGGAACTTTGAAGTTTGAAGTTCTGTCACTGATTACAGAGACTACTTATGGAGAACTTATGGAATGAGCTTTTACATCAGACAGTGAGACCAAGGCCAATTTCACCCATCTTCACGTGTAATTTGAAGGTTTGCAGTTTCATAGCGGATATATATACATGATAAGTTAAGTGGTTTGAGTGTAATGTCTATTTACAATTTTCATCCAATGTTGTATATATACAAAATGGAAATGGTTGATTGGTAAATCAAGTACTGATTGTTGAATACATATGTGGTTGTACATATGTGCTTGTGGATATTCCCAACCATGTCAGAGAGGCTTAATGGTGGTATATTCTGAAAGCTATTGTATTGGCAAACAAATTGAGCCATTACTGGAGAAATTTGACCCACAGACAAAAAAGTTACTAGCAATTGTATCCTTGCAGCTCAGAGAGCTGACAAAAACTATAGGTGGGTCCATAGTTATTACCACCCATGTTAAAGATATGGTGTCATAACATATTTGTAAATCCCCATGATTAGTGCCAGAACAACTCCTAAAAACTTTGAGCCATAAATGAAAAAGTTATCCACTTTCTTGTCCTTTTAATCAAAACCACACAATAGTCAAAATAGTATGGAACTGGATATCCCTACAAGATGTTATATTAACACTCTTTATGGGTTTGTATGTGTGAGTGATCAAATTACCACACTTACCTAAGAGAGCTGATGGGTTTGAATTTTTGATATACTGACATTAAAACTTTAAGTGTTGTGTACTTTGTGGCAATGAATATGAGATCCGTTATGGAGGTATCTAGGCACAATTTTGGGTGAGGGGACCAAAAAAAAAAAGTTGAGATTTTTGGTTTTTTTCATAGGTTTATGTGAAACAAAAAAGGCACTTTTTTTTTGGTTTATTTCAACAAACAAAAAAGTGTTCCTTATACCCCGTTCACAAAAAAAGCACCTCAAATATCATTCATATGGCTATAAGTGGTTCTTTCGGTGGTGTCTAAGTGACCACAATGGTTCACATTTATAGCCCAATGCTACAGGAATCTAAAACAGCTTCAAATTTTAGGTTTGCACAACAACTGTAGAATTTTTACTTGTGGAGTGTGTTTTCACAACATTGCAAATATAGGGGTACAAAAGCCACTACAAGAGCCATAAGTGGTTCTTCAAGCGGGATACTTCTGTATAAAAGTTGAAAATTTTAAAGCCCAACACTCCAAAAATCCAAAACAGGTTTAACTTTTTGGTTTGTCCAAAAACTCCAGAACTTTTACTTGCGGAGTGTGTTTCCGCAACACTGCAAATATAGGGTACAAATGCCACTACCAGAGCCATAAGTGGTTCTTCAAGCAGTATACTTCTGTATGAAAGTTAAAAATTTTAAAGCCCAACAGTCCAAAAATCCAAAACAGGTTTAACTTTTTGGTTTGTCCAAAAACTCCAGAACTTTTACTTGCGGAGTGTGTTTCCGCAACATTGCAAATATAGGGTACAAATGCCACTACCAGAGCCATAAGTGGTTCTCAAAGTGTAACCCTGCCATGCATTATGATTCATGTTTATAGCCCAACACTCCAAGAATACAATCCAGATTCAACTTTTGGGTTTGCACAAAAACTGCAAAAGTTTTACTCATCAAGAGCAGTTCCACAAAATCAGATTTAGGGGTGCAAAAGGTACTAACTGACAATACTTTCAGTAAAATTATCAGTTTTTGTCCAAAAACCCTCAATGAGGAATTTATCTCACCATAAATTTAAGGTTTATTCCAATATACAACCACAACACACCACTTGCATGTGCGGAAACCTCCATGGACCCCTATGTATTTGCTGTCCAGCATGCAGACTTGCAAGGACATGATTGCTAGTAACTTTTTTTTGGGTGATTCAACTGACTCCAGTAAAAGCTCAGGGTTTCCGCCAAGGTTGAGCTTTCAGAATTCACCTCCATCAAGCTTTTCTGGTGGCATGTGATTGATCAACTGGCACCTATACTCAGTTTGTTTATCTGTGTTTCATTCACTTCCCGCTTGATCAAAAAGGGTCCACTTGCCTTGGTGCTCAGTCGTTGTGCATGTTCCCCATCTATATTTGAGTGCCAGTGGTATCCAAGCACGTGTCTCAACCTTTGAGGTTGAGACACGTGGTCAAAGTAGATAAACAACTTGATTTTTTGTAAAAACACGGGTGATTCGAGTATTGTCAAATTAACATTCAAAGTTATTATATTTTACTGGGTATTTTACTGGGTATTTTACTTGGTATTTTACTCAAAATGCTGAGTTATTGCCATGTTTTTGCCACCATTGCGCCAATTCTAGCTAGCGCTAGCGCCACCACTAAGTATACAACCTTAGAGCACCCACTATGGGAGCGGTAACTAGGTGATTTAGCGTAAGTTTAACGCTAAAATATAGACAGGTCCACTATGGACCTGTCTTAGACCTGCGGTCCCTACGACTGCAATAAAAGTTGCGATCCCCGTCTTCAAATCTACGAACAGCTACGACTTGATTTATCGTAGGATAATCAAGTCGAAACTGTTGTTCTCAAAACTTCAAAACCAAACTTCACACTTCACAATTGAAGATCTCAAATCTCGAACTTCAAAACCTTCAAAGTTCAAAGTTCAAAATCAATCCTCACAACTCAACTTCGAGACATCACCCTTCAAAACATCACACTTCCAATCAAATCACAATGTCGGTTCCTCCAGCTCCAGCCCCTCCCTCTTCAACAGCCACTTCTAAACGCGGGGACAACTGGACTGAACCGGAGCTGGAACAACTTGCAGTATCTTGGGTTGTCACCAGTACTCGGCCAGAATATTCTAATAATATGAGCGGTGATGCTTTTTTCGATGAAGTCTCTGTGCACTTCAATAGTCACTCGGTAAGAAAACGAACAGGCAAGATGTGTAAAGGCCAGTACGTACAAATGAATTTTGAATGTTTTTGTATTACATAGAACCTTCTAACTTTTTTTACCTTCAGATGGCGTACTTTGAATCCAGCAACTTTAAAGTTTTCAGGAATCTATGCTCGTCTTGAACACGATCCCCCATCTGGCTCATCTCCTGACACCTGGATAGTGGATGCCATGAAGATCTACCAAGCCGAGATGAAGACCTCTTTCAAACATCTTGCTGCTTGGCAGAAACTTCGGTATGAACCCAAGTGGGATGTTCATCTTATCAACCAACGTAATCATCCAACTCCAGCACCCCCTCAAGAACTCCTTCCAACTCCAGATGCGACTGAAGGTGGATCAACTTCAGCCTCAACCTCATCCAACTCACGTGCTCGACCTGATGATAGTGGTGAACGTCCGATGGGTGGAAAGGCTGCTAAAAAACAGCGTATCGAAGCAAAAAAACAAGCTACTGATGAGACAGCAAGAATCGATGCAATCACAGCATTTACAGCTGTAGCAAGTCGAAGAGCCGAAGCGAGTGAAGAATCTAATCGAATTGCCAGTAACTTGATGACAAGCGAGCTCAAAAGCAAAGACCTTGAGATCGCTCGGGCCAAAGAAGAAGATTGTCCTGATGAGATTTCAAAAAGGATACTACGAGGGTTGAAAGAGGAAGTTGCTCAGCGTTATCAATAGCTTATAGATAACTTTTCATCATCTCATTCATTGAAATTCAATCGATACATAATCACAATCATCAAACAGAAGTTTATATAGATTAGATACAGATCTTAATCATCAAACAAATCAAACATTGTAATCAGAGTAGCTTAAAAATCAATCGATCTCCTCATATTAATTTTAAATACATATGAATCTCATCCATCAAAGGAAACTAATATGTAAACCCCAATCATTATAAAAAAGTTTTTAATGTATCGTAGTTATTTGTAATTGTTGACTTGATAGCAAATTTATGTAGCATTAATTTTTAATATTACTATTTCATTCACCCGCTTCCTTCAGCCAGAGATCCATTGTGAGATCGCGCTGTAGCTCTTGATGAGCGTTGGAATTTCTCAGTAGGAGAGTATTTTGAAGATATGCCATGAGAGTATTTTGTACTGCTGGATCTACCAGTTTTGGTACGATCCTGGTTTGAGAAGTGTAACTCTCGATTATAGGATCGAGTGATCCTCGGTCTTGAATAATCATATTGTGTAGTACTAGACAGCACATCATAGCCGAGTGCATGTCTACTAAATACCACATACGACATGGCATTCGAGTTATCGCAAATCGGATTTGTATTACACCAAATGCCCGTTCGATATCCTTTCGAGCAGCCTCTTGAGCTGTAGCAAACAGTCTTGCTGCTGGAGCTTGTCGATCTCGCGGTGCTTTGACGATGGTGGGCCAGTCGGGATAGATCCCATCACCTAGATAATAAGCTTGCTTATAGAGATGCCCATTGATGGTGAAATGGACCTCGTCTTCATTTCCTAGAAGATCCATCTTTCAGTTCATGATTTCGGAATAAACATGAGATAACTTTGAAGACGTACCTTTGAGGAAATCAGTGAAGAGAAAAGAACGATTCAATACATTGATATCGTTGAGTGACCCCGGTGTTCCGAAGAAAGCATGCCAGATCGTAAGATCTTGAGAGGCCACCGCTTCAAGTATAACCGTAGGAGTGTGCTCTTTCCCCTCGAACTGCCCACTCCATCCAAGTGGGCAGTTCTTCCAAGCCCAGTGCATGCCATCAAGGCTTCCCTTACAGCCAGGAAGCCCACGGAACTCGTATTCTTTCATGGTTCGAGTTAGCTCCTCGTGGTTTGGTGGTCGAAGATAGTCGGCGCCATAGATCTCGTTGATGTGTTTCATGAATAGCTTCAAGCACAGAATGGCGGTCGTTTCGCCAATTCCAACATAGTCATCGGTCGCATCGGCTGGGATTCCAAGGGTAAGTTGTTTTAAAGCACAAACAACTTTCTGATACACTGTGAGTCCCATCACTCCACACGCATCAGGTTTTTGAACCCAAAACACATTATGTATTTGCAAATCTTCGATTATCCTCAAGCAGAGCTCCTTGCTCATTCGAAATCGGCGTTCAAACTTGGATTCATATCTGGCATTAGGTTTGAAGTAGTCATCATAAAGCTGTTGACCGCGAGCAACACGGTCTCGATCTATCCGTATACGAGTGTGAGGAGGAGGTGGTGGTTCTGGGAGCTCGTTGAATAGGCAGTCAAAGACCAATTGGTCATAGTCTTGCTGCTCATCGTCGTCGTTTGAAGACTTCAAAAGACGCTCGATATGTCTTTTCAAGGAACTTGGAGCTGGCATTTGATGGATGGATTTTGGATGAATTTGATACAAAAGATAATTCATCTCATATCAAAAACAAACCACTGTGGATCAGGACGATTCACAGTGATTCATCGTAGCTAAATCACATGTTACATCAATCCGTAGTGGATTTCGTGCGGTTACCAAATTTGGTAAAACACGCGTGATTAAATCTCGCACTCAGGAACGCTAAATCTACGTTAAATCACCATCACGATAGTGGGTGCTCTTACTCATCTTAAACGGTGGGGTGCATTACTGTGGGGTGCATTACTATGTCTTCCGCATATAATCCTCATAATTCACGCATCCAGGAATCAGGACTTAACCAGCATTTTCCGACTTTCATCGCCTTCCAACCCCTAAAGACCAATCTTCAATGGACTATAGTCAATCATATCCAGGAACTGGCAACACTGATTTCCTGAATACATTTGAAGCACGCTCTACAGATACCAACAGCCTAATGTTTTCTCAAAATGCCAACGTTCCAGTTCCACAATTTCATCACACCAATTCCACTCCGAGTGATCTTATCAATAATACTCATAACAACCAACATAACATGAATCAAGACCCCTTTTTGGCTCCAGATCATCCATTTAATATAAATTCTTCTATCCATCATAATCTGAATCATACGATGAACCTCAATCAACAAAATCATATTTACTCAGATGCGCATCCATCAATGAGTATCAATCAGAATGACTCTTTTAACAGCAATCTGCGACTTCACGATGAGCCTACTCAACCATTGAATCGTCGTTTCGACATCAATCAAACTAATGTCTTGACCATCAACCAAGATCATCTCATTGATACAAGTCAAGACCGAGATAATCAAGCATCGAATTCCACCCAAAACCAACATGAGCTCATGGTTCCAAGACCTCACCGTGCATCTATTCCTATCAACCTCAATGCTCTTGACAATCCTGTATCATCTGAAACAGATTCATCAATACCACGCTTCCAACAGCCATCTCTCGCACAGCAAGTTAGACCATCTAATTACTTACCGATGTCGTCTACACAACCTGCCCAAACAAATCAAACAAATCAAAGCAAGAAGGGATCATCGCGAGCGAAAAAAGCGACTCAAAGTAAGAGTACTAAAGATACTCCAACAGAAAAGCAACCTACGCGTGTAGAAGAACGGCCTACAGTCACGAATACAGTCACGAAGAGCTCTAAGGCCGCCTTGGATGAATTTCTAGCTCCATCGTCGCGTTTACCTGTTGATATATTGCTTCCAGAAAACTATACAGTTGATGATTTATTCAAAAAATTCGATGCTGTAGAGCTTAGAACAATGGCCGACAAGCATAGCCGAGGGGATGGTACAAAGAAAGGTGTATTGTCAAACGCGAAAAAACAAATCCTCCGCGACTTCCATCAATCCACCGAGAAGCTCCTCGCAATCTTATGCATACATCTTGGAATATCACAAGATGTTGCAGCAACAGAAGTGTGAGCTTTCGTATTTCGATTTTGTATTCATCTCCTAACATCTACTTCTCTTCCTCACAGTGGAAAGTGGACATATATCCGAGGTTCAAGAGCGTACGATCGCTTCAAGGGATCCCAGCAAGTGAGAGATATCTACCGCAAATGTGAGTGCAAGTTATATCATTTCTATATGTTTTAATGAATTTAACATACATAATCAAATAGACGGCGGAGCAACAAATGATAAAGCCATTCAACTGGTGAAGGAGCTATGGGCCAGCTTGACACAGGACGAGAAGGATGCTTTCATCCCCAAGGATTCTGATGTTGACACATCAGACAACCTCGAGGAAGGTCTTGAAGGTCTTGAAGGTCATGAAGGTCATGATGATTACGGTGTCAATCCTGAAGAGATACCAGATAATCGGCCCATTAAAAAG